CCCCCATTTTGTTACGTGTCACAGAAAACAGGGTTGGAGATTGAAAACAGGGTTGGGGATTGAATCCCTGTTTTCACGGTGTATGTCTTGGTTAGGGCCCCCATTTTGTCACGTGTCACAGGAAACAGGGTTGTAGATTCAAAACAGGATCTCAGATTGAAACACTGTTTTCACGGTGTATGTCTTGGCTTAGGGCCCCCTGTTTGTCACGTGTCACAGAAAACAGGGTTGGAGGTTCGAAACAGGATCTCACATTGAAACTTAGGGTTAGGGCCCCCATTTTGTCACGTGTCACAGAAAACAGGGTTGGAGATTGAAAACAGGGTTGGGGATTGAATCCCTGTTTTCACGGTGTACGTCTTGGTTAGGTCCCCCATTTTGTCACGTGTCACAGGAAACAGGGTTGTAGATTCAAAACAGGATCTCAGATTGAAACACTGTTTTCACGGTGTATGTCTTGGCTTAGGGCCCCCATTTTGTCACGTGTCACAGAAAACAGAGTTGGAGATTCAAAACAGGATCTCAGATGAAAACACTGTGTTCACGGTGGGTGACGGGCCCCCATTTTTTCACGTGTTACAGAAAACAGGGTTGGAGATTGACTCCCTGTTTTCACAGTGTATGTCTTGGCTTAGGGTTAGGGTTAGGGCCCCCATTCTGTCACGTGTCACAGAAAACAGGGTTGGAGATTGACTCCCTGTTTTCACTGTGTATGTCTTGGGTTAGGGCCCCCATTTTGTCACGTGTCACAGAAAACAGGGTTGGAGATTAAAAACAGGGTTGGAGATTAAATCGCTGTTGTCACTGTGTATGCTCGGGGTTCGGGCCCCCATTTTATCACGTGTCACAGAAAACAGGGTTGGAGATTGAAAACAGGGTTGGAGATTGAATCGCTGTTGTCACTGAGTATTTCGTGGGTTAGGGCCCCCATTTTGTCACTTGTCACAGAAAACAGGGTTGGAGATTGAAAACAGGGTTGGAGATTGAATCGCTGTTGTCACTGTATATGCCTGGGGTTGGGGCCCCTATTTTGTCACGTGCCACAAAAAACAGGGTTAGGGTTAAGGTTAGAGTTAGGATTGGGATTAGGGTTAGGGCCCCGGTTTTGACACATGCCACAGAAAACAGGGTTGGAGATTGAAATAGGGTTAG